AGAGAGAGAGAGAGAGAGAGAGAGAGAGAGAGAGAGAGAGAGAGAGAGAGAGAGAGAGAGAGAGAGCCTCCACTCCAGTTGGGATAAAGCACGTCATGAGGCTTCCAGACCAAATGAAAGTGCCCCCTCAAGTTGGGATAGAGCTCGTCAGGGTGGAAGTGCCCCCTCAAGTTGAGATAGAGCTCGTCATACAGCTTCCACATCAGATGAAACCATGAGCCGCGTAAGTGCCAAAACCATCTCCCCAAAATTGTCTCATGCCCACTCTTCCTTAAATGTCTCAGTGCATATTCACATGAGGACATCCGCAACATCCCGGAAAGTCCAATTACTGACGATGAAACCACACAAATACTAAGTTCAATGAATGAACATATACAGCCCCCACAGAAACAATCTAAGTGGTGGAAAAGGCTAGGAACTGAGTAACAGCAACGCCATAAAATTTCCATCCTCTCTGCTGATTCCTACTCCGAGATGCATTCCCTGGCCCCAATTTCAAACGCATGTTGAGCCACTCTCAATCAAGGTCCCACAATCTACAGCAGGCTACTAGCTATCCAATGGTGAGGATAGCCCGGATTGGCAGGGGTTTCCACGTTGTCTGCTTGTCGTCATCCGCCACGAGAAATAGCAATCGCTCTCAAGGACATCGAATTGCAGGGAATTGTTTGCATCAATTGCACCCAATGACGAGGATGATCCGGATATCGACTATACTTACTGGATGATCTGGATATCAACTATACTTACTGGATGACCTGGATATCAACTATACTTACTTTCCTCATGTCGTCCAACACGCAAGTGATCTAGCTGCGCACAGGAATCATTGGAGCAATTGCATCATCAGTCTTCGGCAGTGCACATGAGCGAGCACCATCCTGCAAACCAGACAGTTATCCTAATGACGAGACGGCCATCATTAGTCAGTGAATGCATGATCAGAGCCGCAGGCTGGGACAAACTAGTGTCATTTTGTCATGCATGCAGTGACTGCACATGCCCGATTCCTGAATGATGGCACATCCTTTATTTGATTATTTCCTACAAAAAAAAAAGGTTAAAGATTTTAAAACAGATCCATCCATCCATTCTGGACAGAGGAAAAGGGAGGGAGGAGCCACCTATCCTCAGGCATAATATTTGGTCACGGGGTTACGATGATGACTGAATAGTGATGGAGATAGCCTTCGGTTGGTTGTCTTTTTCACGCTGCACACTGTGCATGGCTCTGAAGAAACACACTCTTCGGAATCTCCACATCGTAGGGCTCCAACACTCGGGCAAATGCTTCTGGAGCTGCCGCATACGACAAAACCAGGCCAAAATTTGTGACTGGCACACCTGCTTCTTCCAAATCGGTGATGCGCGCAAGTATCTTCTGTCGATCGACCATGCAGCCACCACAGTGGATTGCAAGCTGGTACTGCCTCAGCCCATCCACCCCATCTAAATCGGGGAACTCACGACCAAAAGCATGATCAATAATCACTCCCCCTTTGGGATTCTCTTTTGAAATTTGCCTGCAAAGCAGATGACAAATTTAGCCATACTCTTGTTAATCAGACCCATCCACATGACAGAGGAACACACACTTTGAGCATGCAAGACTAGAAAAATACTAAAAATAGCCTCTCCCTGGAGTCTCTCGTAGTATCCATCCATGGCCTAGGGTAGAAATGCAGCAACAACCAACAGGCCTCGCTCAGTTGGAACACAGGTGAACTTTTGAAATGAAGACCCAACTTCAAATCCAGATGCAACCAGGTGAACAGAACAAATTAATTCTGAATTACCTGGGGCCGGTCAATTCAATAATGCTATCTGAGGGCCATCGCCATTTGAATTCAAAAGAAAAGTGCAATGACAAGCTAGGCAATCCATCAGTCTGGATTCATGGCATGCAAAGCTGGTCCAGGCCCATTAAACGATCAGGAAAAGGAAATCATTATCCAAAAAAAAACAAAAGACAACGAGAAATACCACAAGTATTCGTTGAATGCTGCCAACATCATCACCTTGTCACCTTCATCACAGACTTTACATACCAGGTGTAATGAACCCAAATCGTGATGACACTTGTTGATAATGCCAGCCCACAAGTCCTCATCCAGCTGATGAAATATCAATAGTTGAAATCGTTACCAGATACAAAGACATGGATAATCATTCACAGACGAATAAGCAAGAGATTGGGAAAGTAGACTTAGAGGGTGGAAAAGAATACTGCGCCCTCTTCTACTTCGGGCTCTCTTCCCAATGTCGCCACCTCAGCAACAATGATCAGAACGATATCTGAAGTTCTCCTCAATGTGCCATGTGGCACGTCAATAAGTCAATCATCAGCGCTGGAGCATCATCAACCTCAAGATAAACAGGTTCGTATCTCTGATCCTCCCACAGTCATGATCTCTTCCTGAATACGACGAATCAGAACAGCTGTATCTCTCCAATGTAGCCGCCACATCAGCATCGAATACACGTGGCAGCGGCCACGTCAGTAGCAACGCGTGGCAGCTCCCACGTCAGCATACCAAGTAGACAAGAGCAAGCCAGCCACCATGCCTGGCGAGCGGCGCGTCACTGTATCTCGCAAGTGCCAGCCAAAACTAGCGTACAGCCAACATCTCGGCATAGAGCCAGCGTCGTCGTCAAAGCAGAAAGTCAGCATTGATGCAAGACTGAATGAATGTCAATGCCGGGAAGTCAGCCTTTGTATATTGTTGACTCGGGGGCTAGGCCCCGGATGCTGCCTCCCTCAATCGTCCAGATCTCAATGCGGACGAGGGCTCAGATTATTCTGAAACCGAATCCTCTTCGGCCTGGATGCTGTCTTGGTACCTGCACACCACAAGTGAGTGTATCCAGACAAGGGCCAGGGCCTGGTACCTTTGACTCTACAGTGGACTTTGACTTTTGAATTTCCACACGCAGCGTTCGGTCTAACAGCCGGACACAGCGGTCTGTGGCCTGGGCAGTGCCTGGTCACACAGCCCAACGCAGAACAGTAAAGTTCTGCGTGGCCTGGGGCGGGTCTGAGCCCCGTACAGCCCTTGCTGCACACGAGTTACTGCACCAGGCCCACCTCTTTGATTTTTGGCATTCTTGCTCATAATGCGAGGATATGGGTCCTCGGCAGGCCTAAGGAGCCCCTTGCAGCATATGTGCCCGCCCTAAGTGCAGGCAGGCCTAACAAATCACGAGAGGCCCTTGGTTGTCAATTACGCTTTTGGGGGTCCAGGCAGTTTCGTTGCGGCAGTTGATTAAAGGGAAACACAGGCCGAGCAGCGTGGAAATTCCCAGGCCTTCTAGGCCTTTCCAAAAGCTCAGGCCCTGGGCCAGATTCGCAGCCTCATACACAGACAGTTGGGAGGCCCAACCTAATGAGGCCCAGTAGCTGCACCAGAGGCGCAGCATCCTGGGGCCTACCGGAAGCGTCTGGGCCCAGGCCAGTCCAGCCAGGCTGCCGAACGAGGCAGGCTCTTTCCATATAGGAAAGAGCTTGCTGCCTGGCCAGGGCATTCAGGCACTTGCTGGCTGGCGGCAGCGCTGCTGGAGCGATAGCTCGCGTGCGGGCTGCTGGCATTGGAGCAAGAGGCTGCACACGTGCGGTCGTGTGGTGAAGCAGGGCGCTGCTGAGGGCAGCGCCATAGCCCAGCCTCCATAGCTGGCTGTGGGCTTGGACATACAGTGACGCGCAGGAGTGGTCTTCGGGTGTACAACAAAGGGAGGCGTGGGAGAGAGACAAGGAGGAGAGAGAAGGATGATGATGATGATGATGTGAGGGCACATACCTGGTATTGGCGATGGTTCTGCATGGGCGAAATCTTCAAGTACTTCGGGTGCTGCTGACGTCAACAGTTGCATTGTCAATTAGTAGGCTAGTAGTAGCTGTGTAGGGAGTAGGCTGGGCGCCGAGTGCCAGGTAGGAGATAGAGACTGGATACATATGTTGGTGCTGGCGAGACAAGCTCTCATTGACATTGACTTTCAGTGCTACGATTCACCATTGGTGATATATTTGCGAGGCTATGCCCGCTTAGCCCTACGGGCCTTATTTGCAACTAAGGTCGGCCGCCCTAAGTGAAGGCAGGCACGACAGGCCCTCAGGGCCTCACTTTCAGGGTACCCCCGCAAATGGGGAAATTCAGGCAGTTGCACAGCATCAGTTGGTTGAATGAACTCAGGCCCTGGGCCGCCCATGTGAATGAATGTAAAGCAGGCCCTGGGCTGGGTACGGGTACCGGGCCAAGCACAGGCCCAAAAGCAGTTGGGCACAAGTAACTACTTCAGGCCCACTGCCTGTATTCCTCGTGACTGGGCCTCAGGCTACCGGGGCCTACTGGAAGCTTCTTGGACTGGACGCAGGCAGGCCACGGGGATATAGGCAAGGGCCAGCCTCCTTATTCGTCAGTCAGGTGCTGGCTGCATGCGGCGACAGCGCTGCTGCGCTATTTGCTGGCTGGCGCCCTCGCACTCACGGGCGAGTGTGGAAGAAGCAGGCAGCCATAGCCACGCTGCCTGCTGTAAGCTGGGTTGGGCGCAGGTTGATCCTTGGGTGCTTGAGGCATCTGTGCGGTGAGGATCGGGGTTGAGAGCGAAGCGGGAGTCATACCTGGTGCTTGAGGCGAGCGGCATTGGCCGCATATGCTCGTACTTCGGTGAAGCTGTTGACGTCAACTTCGGCATTGTAGTAGTAGGCTAGATAGGATCTGCCATCTTGTAGTCTGGGCGCCGAGCGCCAATAGGATACCAACTCTTGTTCTTTGTTGATGATGATGAGAGACAACCGCATTGTCAATTATGAACTATTGCTGTGTTCTTATTTGGTATAACTCGTGATGCCATTCTGCTTATGGTTCGAGGTCATGACTATTTGGTCACTCTTGTATGATGCTGTTTGACGGGAATTCGCTATTGCTCATCTTCCTTGCATATTGGTGCAATGCTGCTTCCTGAACACTGTGTTACGATTTCGTTTTCAATGTGATTGTGCAATCTGAATATTATCATCTCGCTTCTGTTCATTTTCCTTGCAATAACAATCACGACGGATGATTCTCACATCATCAGCACAAATTTGATATTATTGCGTCTTAGACGCATAATCGGATTTCACCATCAAAAAAATTACCTCAGTCAGCTGATTGTTCTTTTTTTTTTCCCCCCCTTCTTAAACCACCACTATCTCCGATCCCATTTTTGCCGAACCAGAATTTCACTGCGCACCGAGTTTTGCCGAGCCTGGGTCCCATTGTATTTTCTTTCCTGGTACTCACAGCCGTTGCACCTGAAAAAGAACAAAAAAAAAGAAAGAAAGAGAAGAAGGAAAAAAACTTCCCTCACGCGGTGATACGGTGATAGCCATCTGATACATTCTATGAGGCGCTGGTGGGACTGTGCCCTCAGTGAGCGCATCTGTTTGATGAAAAACAATGAAAGAAAGAAAAAAGAAAAAAAAAACTTCCCTTATGCTGTGATCACGGTCTGGTACAGGACGTTAGAGTACTCATGTGAGTTCAATGTCAGTGGGGCAAAAAGGCAACCAAAACGAGTAAAACAAAAGAAAAAAATCATCCGCAGTCACTTTCCACACATGCTGGCCAGATACATTCGTAAGGCTGGTGTTACTTTCTCCTCCATGAGGGCCTTCGGAAACAAATGAAGAACAAAAAAACAAAAAAACTCCGCTCCGATACAGGGCACTAGAGTACCTGTCTGAGCTGTGAAACACCCCGTACAGATATGGGGCGTTCGTACGGCCCATACGGCCGTACGTACAGGCCCCCCAGCGGCCGTACGAGCCGTTTCGGCGGCCCTCCTGGGGGCTTTCTGAAACATGAGGGGGTGGGGGGGGTGGTGCATGCCAGGGGCTACCCCCCCGAAGTAAAAACAAGGGAAAAAAAATTGTTCGTTTGGGGGGTGGGCCCTCCCGGGGGCTTTCTGAAACATGAGGGGG